GAAAAATAAAAGTTTCTTATCCACAAATGAAAGATTTGAAACCCACCATCTGGGCAGGATAGAACTTGGCCGTGGGAGAGGACCACAGAGGTGAAGAACAAGTGGAGAAAAACTCCCATGTTCGAACAAACCAGCTGAAAAGAAATCCTTTCGATGTTTTGTAGCTGTCGAGAAAATCGAGAAGCTTAACAGCAGTTTGCTGACTGCGATGTACCAGCAATTTAACGCTAAACTTCCTTGAAACATGATAGCCAATCAAATTCTGATATATGAAAGATGTCTAACAGCCCGCCACAGAGACGCTATTAGATTAAATGATGTGTACTAAAATAAATAATTTTGTTAGTTTTCTCCTCACGCAGTTATTTCCATTTTTCAATCGCTCTTCTAAGGGATCCTTCTTGTATACGTTTCAATAATTAATTATAGGCAGCATCAAAAAAAAAATATAATAGTTAAACTCAGTAAAAATGCAAGCGAACGAAGAAAAAGCCTAAAAATCTGTTTTCTTAAGATTTCAAGTTGCTAACTCTGTGGTATTCTGACCAAGTTTTCAAGGAGACTTTAAGGTGCATTTTTAGAAAACATGGCTTCACTGAAGCCATGTGGTTCAGTGCCGCTCTCGCTAAGAGAGTGCCTCTCGAATTCCCGTCGGGAAAAAACTTTCCCTTTTTTTCTTAGGCATAAAAGAATGGTTTAAGACATGTGTTTCTGAAATAGTTAAGTTGCTCTCCAATTCTCTTTTTTGTGTCGTTATAAGCTAAACTTGATTTTTTTTGGCTAAACCCCTGAGACTGCAATAATACACTTCACGGAATTCTCTCTTGCTTCAAGTTGCGGGATTTATTCAGTCAAAGTATAAATAAAATATGCAAACTTTACATGAAATCTTAGCCATAACAGCGCGATCAGAGTTTCGAACACAATTTGCATACCAAAAATTTAACAACGTGTACGAAAGAACTCTAAAAATGTAGGCGTAAATCGGGCTGGAAAAGCATATCAGTGGAAAGTTTTTACACCAATTAGGTCACTGATAGTCACTAGCTTTCATCTACCAACATCTTGAAAACAACGCAAATCAATGCGTTTCCTCTAATGCACTAGTGTCAGAGTTCATTTGCAAAATTCTGAAAATCAACCAAGACATGTTTTTGGCCGTTTAAACTTCTTTCATTTACCTCCTATAAGAAGGGTTTTAAGTTTTAAAAAAATTGGAAGCGAAAAGATCCTTGTTTCTCCTGAATCGTTGCATAAACTTTATCACTCGCAACGTTTGCATGACTTACTAAGTAGGCGGTCATGAACAAGAGCCTCTTTGATAAGTTTCATCGTATCAGGTTACAAACCAAACACAAAGTGGAAAGTTCAAAATTAGCGAACAGAGTTTGGCATTCTCGTCGTTATAGAGATAATCCGTCTCTAAAAAGGACAAGCAAATATGTTAAATTATGTTACAGTGTGTTTTAGTAAACAACACGTATACACTCTGCAGGGTTATTCTTCTTTTT